TCCCTCTCCCACTCCCCCTGCTTGTGTTCCTGCTCTCGCTGTCTCTCTCTCTGTCAAATAAATAAATAAAATCTTTAAAAAAAAAAAAAAGGGTTGACAGTTACATTTTATAGAAGAGGAAACCGAGCCTGATAGAGTTTAAGTGACTCATCCAAGATCACAGAACTCAGATTCATGCTTTTAAAGTCTCCCTGTAAGATGTATAGTAAGAGCACAGGAATTCACCTTCCCCTGCTGTTGTCTCAGGAGCTGGAGATGACCGTTTCCAGAATGCACCCAGTTTCAAAGGCACACACACACTCACGGTCACATACTGAGAGCACCCTCATTCCCCAGCCTTACCTTCTTCCCACCTCCTCATCTGTCCACTCCACTTCTTTCAGACACATCTTTTTATTTTACTTTTTAAAGATTTATTTATTTATTTTGGAGAGAGAGAGAGAGAGAGAGAGAATGAGAGAGCGAGCACAGCAGGGAGGGATAGGGGGAGAGGGAGAGTCTCAAGCAGACTCCCCGCTGAGTGCAGAGCTCAAGCTCCATCTCACCACCCTGAGATCATGACCTGAGTGGTAATCGAGAGTAGGACACTTAACTGACTGAGCCACCCAGGCACCCCATGCACATCTTTTTAAAAGCAACTTTACCTTTATCTTCTTTCCATAATACTGTAATAGCCGTATCTGTATCTTTTCAATCCATCACTCAGATTGTCCTGAAACTTGAAAATGTCCAGAAAGTCCAGGGTTAATCATGCTTTCTAACTCTTCACTCAACGTGCATTTTCCCCTAGTACTCTAGCAGTGTGAATCTACACCTCCAATACACATTTTCACCACCCATCCGCTGATTCAGTAGAAACAGTAATGATGATTGTTAACATGTATTCAATGCCAGACTTTTTGCTGACCTCATTAGCTGAATTGAATGCTTACAATATTTAAAGATTTTTATGATTACACTTTCTTTTCAGATGAGAAGACTAAAGCACGGAAAAATAAAATAACTTACTGAAGATAACACAGCCAGGTGGCAAGAGAGTAAGAAGTGGACTCAGGAACGCTTCTCTTAACTACCATGCCTTTTATGGTAAACTACATCAGTCAGAAGATGAGCAGAGATGTGGAAATTAGAGTCACATTAGTACAACTATTGGCTTTCTAGCAATTTTTCTTGTGCTACTGTTTTATCTGTTGATCTAGAGATGATAGGATGCATTTTTAACTTAACCCGCTCTACTTAAACTAAATATTGAATTATTTCCAGTAAAATATAGAAAAGTTGCAATGACATAGTTGCATTTACTTAAATCCACTAACAACGTTGTTATAATTTTTAAACGGGCTTTTGCCTTTTTTAGAGAAATTTAGAGAATACGTGTATATGTGTATATAATCTTTTCTATTTAACCTCACATTCAGCATGTTCTTCATTCTCTCCTGTGTATCCAAGTTACCATGGGTTTCATTTTCCATCAGCTTTCTTAGTGTTTCTTAAGGTGCATACTTGCTAGCAACTATCTTCATGTTTCTTTATCTGAAAATTTCTTCATTTTGCCTTTATTTGTGAAGTATAGTTTTGCTGGATAAAAAATTCCTAGTCAAGAGGGTACTTTGTTTCATCTTCTCGTATGCCATTTGCGGGGTCTCTGTCCTCCCTAGTTTCTGATACCAATACTGCCATCAGTGACATCATCTTTTTACTCCAGGTAATGACGTGTCAAATTCCTCTTCTTGTTTCAGTGTGTTCTCTTTACCTTTGGCTTTCACCAATTTGAGAATGACGTGTTTACACGTGTGTTTGTGTGTTTCTTACTTGTGATTTGCTGAACATCTTGACTTTGTACGTTACTGTCTTCCACCACATTTAGGAAATTTCCAGCTATTATTTCTTAAAATATTTTCTCCCTCTTTATCTTTTCATTTCCTTCTGTATTCCAAACATTGAACTATTTGCTGTTGTCTTGAAAATCTCACAGAATTGATTCATTTTAATTTTATTTTTTTCTTCTTCAGATCAACTTATTTCTATTGATTTATTTTCCAATTCATCAGTCCTTTCTTCTATCATCTCCAAAATGCTGTTGAGCCTATTTCATGAAAAATCTATATTCCAGCAATATGTAAAAAGAATAATTATTCAAGACAAAAGGGACTTATTCCAAGAATGCAGGACTGCTTTCTATTTGAAAATGTTAACATAATTCACCAAATTAGTCAAATAAATGAAAAAAGTAATCTACTCATCTCAATATTTGTAGAAAAATTATTTGTAAAAATCAATATCCACTGATGGTTTTTTTTTTTTTTAAACTCTGTTTCTATTTAAAACTAAAGCCACTATCCTAACTTTTTGTGAAATATTGCTCTTTTCCCTAGGCTGAACACTTTGGCCATTCTATACAACATCATACTGGAGGTCCAAACCAGTGTAATAATGTAAGAAAAAGATATAAAAGACAATGATTTGAAAGGGATGATAAAACCCTTCATTTGCAAATGACATGACTGAGTACCTAGAAAATCTTACTAAATCTACAGAAGGACTACAAACCTAATAAGTATATTTAGCAAGTTCTCAAATCAGTTGTTTTTCTTTATATTAAAAATAAGAAATTACATTTTTAGATGTCAATTTTAATAGCATCAAAACATAGATGCTTAGAATCAACACAGAATTAAATTTAAGACAAGAGAGGAAGTACTCTATACTTTAAAATTCTAAACATTAATGAGATAAGATTAAAGTAAATCTAAATAAATGAAGATACATAAAATTTCATGGATAAAGGGCGCCTGGGTGGCTCAGATGATTAAGCGTCTGCCTTCGGTTCGGGTCATGATCCCAGCGTCCTGGGATCGAGTCCCGCATCGGGCTCCCTGCTCCTTGGGAGCCTGCTTCTCCCTCTGCCTCTCTCTCTCTCTCTCATGAATAAATAAAATCTTTGAAAAAAAAAAAATTTCATGGATAAAAAGATTCAATATTGTAATTTTGATTTCCCAAATTTATCTATAGATTCAATGTATCTCAGTAAATAAACTCAAACAGGGTTTGTGCAGAAATTGGCAAACTAATTCTAAACATTATCTGGAAATGAAAAGATCTAAACAATCATATGAGAGATTTGGGTGAATTAAACACCTGAGCTCAAAATTACTATAAAGTAACAATAATGAAAACAGTGCTACTGGCAAAAAGGTAGGTATATAGATCAACAAAAAATATAAAGTCCAGAAACAGTCACATCTATATCCAGTACCATCAATTTCCATAAAGGTGGTCTGTACAAATCAATGAGGAAAGTCTTTCCAACCGATGGTACTGGAATGACTGCATTTCAGTATAAGAAAAACAAAACAAAAATAAATAAAACAATCCTCACTTCATTCCGTACACATAAATTATCCCAGATGAGGTGTAGACCTAAATGTCTAAAAGGAGAGAGCAACTTAAAGAATACACAGAAGAGTATCTTCATTACCTTGGGGTAGGCAAAGAATTTTTTTAGGCAGGAGACAAAAATGCATAGGCATAAAAAATTGATCAATCAAACCACAAAAATTAAGCTTCTGCTTATCAAAGAGCAGATGGCAGAGCAAAAGGGCAGAATAACTTTATAAGAAAAGCCAATTTGTACTAAGCTAAACAGAGAGCGAGTAAGCATATGGCCACGCAAAGACTTGTATAAATGTTTTAGCTGCTTAATTCGTAATTTGAAAAACTTAGAACAGCCCAAATGACCACAAATGTGAATACATAAACAAGTTGTGGAATATTCATGCAATGACACAATAGCCGGAAATATAAAGGAATAAACATGTAACACCACAGGAAATCTCAACAGCATTCCTTTGAGTAAAAGAAGCCACAAGCAACAAAGTTCATACAATTTGTTTCCATTTACGCATTTAAAGAACAAGAAAGTTTTATAATGGTTGTGGAAATCACCTCACTCGGGGCCCTGCGGCTCCGACTGGATAAAAGCAGGAAAGAACTTCCTGAAATGAGGGAAATGTTTTAGGTCTTGAACTCAGACTTGATTAGTTATGAAAATACAAATTAAAAAACACACTCCTGAATAACCAATGGGTCAGAAAAGAACTCAAAAGAGAAATAAAAAAAAATCTTGCCACAGACGACGTGACAAAACTTAGGAGATGCATCAAAAGCACTTCTAAGAGGAAAGTTGAAAGTTGATATTGATAAGTAACCTACATTCAGGAGAAAGAAAGATCTCAAATAGATAACTAACTTCACACCTGACAGAACTAGAAAAAGAACACATTAAACCCAAAGATAGCAGGAAGAAGGAAATAAGGAAGATGGGAGCAGAAACAAAGACTAGAAAAACAATACAAAAGGTCAATAAAATCAGCAGTAGGGGTGTTTGTTGTTTGTTTCTTTGGGCTTTTTTTGGGGGGAGGGGTTCTGATTTGTGTTTCCAGGTGACTTCAACTCTAAGACTGGGAAATAAATATAAGAAAACCCAGGGAAATTGTCACCATACTGTTCTTTGGGCCCCAAAGTCCCTAGCTGTTCTTGTCCTTTCCAGCGTTCAGATATTCTTCTGTGTGTTTTATGAATAATGCCCAGAGTTTTCAGTTGTATGAGGTGGGAGGAATGGGGAAGGTCTTTCTACTCTGGCGTCTGGAAGTAGAAGTCCTATTGCTGTCAGCTAGGTTTTATCACAGAGTTTCCTAAATGGAATGAATGAATAAAATAAGACAAAATCAGAGGGGGAGACAAACCATAAGAGACTCTTAACCATAGGAAACAAACAGATTTGCTGGAGGGGGTGGGGTCGGGGGATGGAGTAACTGGGTGATGGGCATTAAGGAGGGCATGTGAGGTAATGATACCGAGTGTTATATGCAAGTGATGAATCACTGAACTCTACCTCTGAAACTAATGATGCACGATATGTTAACTAATTGAATTTAAATAAAATAAGTAAATCAAATGAATGAAATCTGTAACCCCAACCTTTTCAAAGTTAGGTAAATAGAGGGATAAATAGATAGACAGCTAAAACATGTAGGAGGCTAAGAGGATTTTAATAAAAATCTACTGACCAAGGTGATTGAAATCCATAGTGTTTTTATTTTCCCTAAACTTCTGAATATATGACCTTTTCTATTAGGCAATGTGGTTGAAAGTTATAGATAAACAATCATAGCTGACAATCGTTTTCTATAACAACTGGAAAACCCTATTATGATAAACTTTCAGAAACTGAAAAATTGCATGTTAATGGTAGACAATGAATATTTTTTCAAGTCAAATAGATTCCATATCATTGTTTTTGAGAAAGTAGGAAAAAAGAACTGATAAAATTATCCTCCAATATAATATTAAACATAACTTTTGATGATAGACCATTCAGCTATTAATGAACTATAACTTAAAAGAAATTTTTAAAAAATTGAGTAGCTCTGCTTTTCTTAAAAAAACTTTTTTTGGAACAAAATTAATCCTGAACTGCCTTATTTTAGCAAAAAGAAATATTATTCATTGATATATAAGGTAATTTTTAAAGCACTACTTTCATTCAGGGATAATTTTACATTAAAATTTTAATTTTCACATTTAATCAGATTTTCTCTTGTATATAAAATATGATAAAAACATTAAAAAAATCAACCTATAAACACTTTTGTTACAGAGAAGTATGATAAGGCTTTTTTTATCAGCTTGCCCAGCTGTGTGGCGGAAGGGGAAGAAGTAGGAGCTGAAAGGTTTAAAAGCTGTCAGAAAACCACAAAGCAGAGTCAGGCTCTTTAATAGCTTTTGCCAGTATCATGCTGTCTTGATTAATGCAGCTATATGGTAGGTGTTTCTACTGGATGGAATGATTTCCACTTGATTCTTCTTTTTCAAGAGTGTTATAGGTATTCCAGAACTGGTTACTTTCCATATAAATTAGAATGTGTTTGTCGTTCTCTACAAAAACAAACAAACAAAAAAGTCTTTCTGGGATTTTGAAAGGATTGCATTAAGCCTCTAAATCAACTTGGGGATCAATTTTGTTATTTTTTTCTAGGTTCTTGAGATAGGAATTTACATCATTATTAGAGACCTTTCCTCCTCTCTAATAGATGCTTTAGCTGCATCCCACACATTTTGATATGTTGTAATATCATTTTGATTCAGTTATATGAATTATTTTTATTTCCTTTGAGATTTCCCCAATGACCATGGATTGCTTAATATTGTTTAATTTCCAAGTGTTTATAGATTTTCCTATCATCTTTCTGTTCTTGATTTCTAACTTGATTCCATTATGGTTAGAGAACCATATGTCCTCTGTATGATTTCCATCCCTTGAAATTTCTTGCAGTTGAAGAGGTGATGGGGATTAAGGCATGCACTTGTGATGAGCATCAGGTAATGTATGGAAGTGTAGAATCACTATATTGAACACCTGAAACTAATGTAATACTGTATATTAGCTAACTGGAATTAAAGTAAAAACTTAAAAAAAAATTCTTGTGGTTCGTCTTGTGGCTCAGGATATGATTTTTCTTGGTGTCATGTGGAGGGTAGGTTACCCCGAGGCTCAGCTGGTGATGCTCCTGTAGGTGGATGGTGTAAGGGGGAGGGGTCTGACACTGCGGGTGCAGGCAAATTAGGGTCCCCACTGCCATTAGTTTTAGGTCTCCCTACTAAGTCCCTGCTGGGCTTCCCCTTTCTTGGTTCTTTGCCTGAGAGAACAGCCTTAGCTTGCATTTATTTATTTATCTATCTATCTATTATTTATTTATTTATTTATTTATCTGTTTATTTATTTTTGTTTTGTTTCTGCCTTTGCCTGTGGGCATTTTCAGATTGCATGTTGCAGGGCTCTCCACACCCTGATCCAGAACACACTGGGCATAAACAGAAATCCTTGCAAGCCTGCTGTGGTAATGTTCAAGTGCTGAGGTCCTGGGCCAGCCCATTGTCTCTGTTTCATCTTTACAAGTCATGTTTAGGATTGTTGAGTTATTTCCAGGTTTTTTAGTTGTATTTAGAGGGGCGTACTGAGAAACGTGAATATAGACCATTTTGCCTGGAACTTGAATAGGTCAAAGTTTCTAAGAAATTGGTAAACTACTTTCCAAAATTGTGAAATATTTTATAGCTTTTACATTCGCAAAAATAGCGTATGAGTTACACTTCTTCCAATCCTCACCCACACTGGTGTAGCCAATCTTCTTTTTTTAAAGACATTCAAATAGTTGTGTAGTGGAATCAAATTGTGTTTCTATTTTGTATTTCCTAATGACTGATCATGGTGAGCACCTTTCAAGTGCTTATTTCCCATTTGTATATATTCTTCAAATGTTTTTAAGATCTCATCGCTGGGGTGCCTGGGTGGCTCAGCGGATTAAGTGTCTCCTTCAGCTCAGGTCAAGACCTCGGGGTCCTGGGATAGAGTCTCGTCTCGGGCTCCCTGCTCAGTGGGGAGTCTGCTTCTCCCTCTCCCTCTGCTCCTCCCCCCCCATTTGTGTTCAATCTCTCTCTCTGAAATAAATGAACTTAAAAAAAAATCTCATTGCCATTATATTTATACATACGTACATATACATGCCTATGATTCTTCTGAAATATATTTATTTAATCAATTTTGTGTCATTACATAGTTAGTTGCAAGTGCTGGACTACAACACATTATATTCTTCCAGCAACTGGAATCCCAGCCTTCTTATTTTGTGGTCTTTCCCAACACTCCTCCATGGCCCCTCCTCTGGCCACTCTGCTCCAGTTTGTCCTGTCTTGTCTGAGCAGTTTCAGCCCTCGGCACACAACAGTGCCGTTCACTTTTCATTGGCTCTATCTTCTTTCCTCCATCAAGGTACAAATTCCTTGTAAGAAAAGCCCATTCCTTCTCAGAGTAGTCTTCAAACATTGTTGAGCCCTTCCCCAATACCCAGGAGGGGAGCTGGTGATGAGAGGGTGAAAGTGTCGGGGAGGGGAGGCATTGGGATGCGCCTCCCTTCCCTCTCTGCCAAAACAAAACTTGCGAATTAGCGCGGACAAAATATGAGCTCTGCAAGTTTTAAATCCCCAGAGATTCCCAGCAGAGTTTTACTAGTCATGGGTTACACAAAGCCCTGTAACTAATGAGAGAAAATTACAAAGTTGAGTGAGAAAATTCTCTTGCTCCCTCTGATGAAAGGAGAGAGGAATCCCCGAGGGTCTCCTAACCAGAGCCAAACCTCCAGAGCGAAGGAAACTCAGGCCCTCATCATGATCAGACAATATCTCTAAACTGGTAGAAGAAAAGGCTCTCTTTTTTTTTTTTTTAATTTTTTATTGTTACGTTAATCACCATACGTTACATCATTAGTTTTTGATGTGGTGTTCCATGATTCGTAGAAGAAAAGGTTCTTAAGCACTGTGGTTTAGCGAGTGGTAGAAACAGACCATAGCTCATGTGGCCCAGGCTCACAACTCGAGTCGGAAGCTCTAGGCCACAGGAAGCTGAAGCTTGCACAAAATCAGGGCCCTTTCCTCACTCTCCGGCTAGGGAAACTTAGACCCAGAAGGTTCACAGACTTCCCAAGGTCACTAAACTAGCAGTGATAAAGTTAAAAATGCAGACTGTTAGACTGATGACTTTTATAGTAAGTGGATCTCTGTCTCTTCTGAGTGAAGAACAAAGCATGCTTCCAACAATGTGAAGACCATCGTGGAAGAATATAAGCCTAACACTGAATTGGCTTGGGGCCCTGATAAAATACACAAGGTAGGAAACTCTTGTAGATGATTTGACTCTGATTTCCTCACAATTAATTGTCCCTGCATTTTCTTCAAATTACCATTTCTCTGTGACTTTGGAAAGGGTGAGTATTTCTTTTGTCAGTGGATCCATATTCCAAACTAAATTTGATACAAGTTGATTTAGGGATAACTTCAGAGACACGTGAGGGTAGGGTGGGGTATGATACGCTCACCCCACTACACATACATTCAGAATATGTCAGAGTACGGGAGGTCCTGAAATTCACCCTCTACTACTGACCGTTCACCAAGTAGGCATTGAGCACACCATCAGGTAAGAATTAGGTAAGGAACGACCTGTTTTAGAATATGTATTGCTGATTCTTTGCATTTTCAAAATGCTTCTGAATTTAATGATGGATTTGAACACAAGCCCTCTGGGCTGTTTAGGAGGGGATATGGCATATCGTGTGAAATCAGGCTGTTCTGCAATTGGTGTGTTAGAAAGAGTTTGAGGGGCACCTGGGTGGCTCAGTCGGTTAAGTGTCTGACTCTTGGTTTTGGCCCAGGTCATGATCTCAGGGTCATGATCTCAGGGTTGTGAGACTGAGCCCTGTATCAGGCTCCATGCTCAGCATGGAGTCTCCTTAAGCTCTCTCTCCCTCTGTCTCTCCCTGCACCACTCCCTCCCACCCCATTCTCTTTCTCAAATAAATAAATAAATCTTAAAAAAAAAAAAAAGAAAGAAAGAAAAAGTAAATAAATAAAATAAAATAAAAAAAGAAAGAGCTTGAGTTCTGCACCGAGGACACCAGGTACTAAAAACAACTTGTTTTGCCCATCTACTCTCCCCCTCACCCCACTTTGGGGTACTTAATTATTCATCTTTTAGTTCCCCAATCCAATTGCTCTTCTTCAGAGTTCTTGTGAACAGTCAAGAGAACTAGGAAACTTTAATGCTCTCCTGAGGCAGGAATTGTTCACAATGGCTTATCGATAAGTGGAAGGGTGTATGGGACCTAGTATTTCTGGGAGAGGAGAAAGTCGTCCAGTCCTGAGAGCTTCAGGAAGTTGTTTGCAGGGGAAAATAGGACAAGCTGAAAGTGTGGGTGTGGAGACACTAAATTTGGAATCTAAGGAGGCTTGCCTAAAATGCCTCGTAAGAGGGGCGCCTGGGTGGCTCAGTCGTTGAGCGTCTGCCTTCGGCTCAGGTCATGATCCCAGGGTCCTGGGATCGAGCCCCGCATCGGGCTCCCTGCTCCACGGGAAGTCTGCTTCTCCCTGTCCCACTCCCCCTGCTTGTGTTCCCTCTCTCGCTGTGTCTCTCTGTCAAATAAATAAATAAAATCTTTAAAAAAATAAATAAATAAAAAATAAAATAAAATGCCTCGTAAGGAAGCCCAAGGATCATTTAGATAAGCCCCTCCTAATGTAATTGCCTTAGGCAGGAAGACAAAAAAAAAAAAACTCTAGTCTTCTTTTGAGGAGGTAATTACCCACAGATAGCAGGTGTGGATACAGTGAGAGAAAGTGAGAAACAAGAAAGGAGAAAGGGTGGTGGGAAAGACTAGACACATGATTCTCGTGTGGCCAAGGATGAAGAAAAGTCTCGTCAGGTCTAAGAGGACAAAAGAATCAAGGAGCTCTCTAAGGAGATTCCAAAGGGCTGTGGATTATTTCTGCAGCCTTTAATAATAAAAGTTTATCATTATATGACTATAATTATTTTATTTATATTTATTTATACATGTTAAAGTTATATAATTATAATTTAGACCATTTTCCTACTGCCTCTTTTGACTGTCAGTGACCAGCTCAATTCTGCTGACAGAAGGCTTAATCTTAGCCTGAACCAAATCTAATTAAGAGTGGAAAGTCTTACGCTCAGCACGCTCTGCAATGCTGAATAACAAAGTAAAAGGGAAACTGTTTATAGATTCAGCACTCTTTTTGATAACTAACCTATCCAAGCAACATATATTGTGAATCATTACCTTCTTAATACATTTTATATTAGCACTGTGAGAAATACAGAAATCTGTGACTGATAGCCTCTTTCCTCAAGGAAAAAACATTGATAAATGGAAAGAATATACAGTTAAACTCAAAACAGTTGGGTTCTAGCTACAAATATGCCACTTCATAGACCCAACTATCTTATTTCTAAAATAAGTAAAATAATCACAACTGCCATCCATGTTTCACAGCTGCGCTATGTGCTTCACATTTTCATTGTCGGGAATAAAACCAATAAACATTACAAGGAATTTGGCAAAATGCAGACCCTATCAATGCTAGCTATTAAACATGTTGACATGTGGGAAAGGAAAAACAAGAGCTCAGTATAGCACAACACTGAGGGAATGTGTTAAATATAAGAAAAGGCAGCATGTTGTAGAAGTTAGAGGAGGATGAGATCAAATCAGACGCAGAATTGTCGAAGAATTCACAGGATCTCTAGCATTTTTCTTCTTTCCGATGCCAGGCTTGGCATTGAAGAAATGGGCAGGTTTTCAGCTGCTATCTGCAATGTGCTCGCATGAAGGGTCTGTTTATTAATACCACCCAGGTACTCTCATTGATCACCTTTAATCTGAAGGGTTCTGGAGTAGCCTATCTCCCCTCTCCTCAGAGTAGAGGGAAGGGAGCATGTTCTTCACTTTTAATATTTCAGGGCCTAAATGTCCTCTCCAAGAAGAGATAATGACTTTGGGCTTCCCTGCAATTATAAGCCATTGTCCGAAAGGAGTCCCCAAATTCCTAACAAACCAATTATCAACCTTCACTCATTAGATATTTACAGACAATTTATATGTGGAAGTTGCTTTGTCAGACCCTGACTCTGTGTATTAACCACTTGGTAGTTTTTTTAGTATTCAGAGTCTGATCAAATCTGGCACACCTAATGCACCTGCATTTCCTTTATATGGATATCAAGTAGAATATTTTTCCCCTCATTATATTACCAGCCAGTAAAGTCCTTTTAAAAAATAAGCCAGAACAAGGGGGGGTGGGAGGATGGGACAGCCTGGTGATGGGTATTAAAGAGGGCACGTTCTGCACGTAGCACTGGGTGTTATACACAAACAAAGAATCGTGGAACACTACATCAAAAACTAATGATGTAAAAGGAATGAGATCTTGCCATTTGCAACGACGTGGATGGAACTGGAGGGTATTATGTTGAGTGAAATAAGTCAAACAGAGAAAGACATATATGATCTCACTGATATGAGGAATTCTTAATTGTAGGAAACAAACTGAGGGTTGCTGGAGTGGGGGGTGGGGTGGGAGGGATGGGGTGACTGGGTGATAGACATTGGGGAGGGTATGTGCTCTGGTAAGCGCTGTGAATTGTGCAAGACTGTTGAATCTCAGATCTGTACCTCTGAAACAAATGCAATATATGTTAAGAAAAAAAAAAGAAGAAGAAGAAGGTAGCGGGAGGGGAAGAATGAAGCGGGGGAAATCGGAGGGGTGGACGAACCATGAGAGACGATGGACTCTGAAAAACAGGCTGGGGGTTCTAGAGGGGAGGGGGTTGGGAGGATGGGTTGGCCTGGTGGTGGGTATTGAGGAGGGCACGTTCTGCATGGAGCACTGGGTGTTATGCACAAACAATGAATCATGGAACACTTCATCTAGAACTAATGATATAATGTATGGGGATTAACATAAGAATAAAAAAAATAAATAAAGACTTTAAAAGTCTCAAAAAAAAAAAACTAATGATGTAATGTATGGTGATTAACATAACAATAAAAATTTAAAAAAATAATTAAAAAATAAGCCAGAAGGCATCTCTGTCACCCAATAAGTGATCAGGAATTGGTCACTGAATAAAGGTGTAACAAGTGAGTTAAAAATTAGGAAAACACATAGCCTATATACACATGGTGTTTTGCTAAATTAAATGAAAAATCAGTAATTATAATTCTGATCATCTGTCTTATTCACAACATAATTTTTCAAAGAATAATGGAGAATGGAGTATTTATTTGTTGTTTCTTTCAGATTTCAGACATGCAAACAATGAAGGTCAACCAGACAATCCTGAAAGAATTCATTCTTGTTGGTTTTTCCGTGTACCCACATGGGCAGATATTCCTCTTCATGGTCTTCCTTTGCCTCTATCTTCTCACCCTCACAGGTAACCTGGCCATCATGGGTCTAACTTGGGTGGACAGATCTCTCCACACCCCTATGTACCTCTTCCTTGGTGCCCTCTCTTTCTCCGAGACCTGCTACACACTGACCATCATCCCCAAGATGCTGGCAGATCTGCTGACTGAGAACAGAAGCATCTCAGTCACGGGGTGTGGCTTGCAGATGTGTTTCTTCTTGGGACTCGGTGGCACCAATTGCATCGTCCTCACCTTGATGGGATATGATCGCTTTCTGGCCATCTGCAACCCTCTCAGGTACCCACTGCTTATGACCAATGTGGTGTGTGGACAACTTGTGGCCTCTGCTTGGGCTGGAGGCTTCCTTATCTCTCTAATAGAGACTGCGCTGATATTCAGGGCCTCCTTCTGCAGCCCCAAACTTGTCCAACACTTTTTCTGCCACATGCAGGCAGTGGTGAGGCTCTCCTGTCTAGACAGCGACCTCACAGAATCCATTGTGACGATGATCTCAGTGTCAGGCTTGATGGGCACCTTCCTGCTCATCGTCATCACTTACGTGTTCATTCTTTCCACTGTCTTCAGGATCCCGTCAGCCGAGGGCAAGCAAAAGGCTTTACGTACCTGCGTCTCGCATCTCACAGTGGTCGTTGTCCACTTTGGGTTTGCAGCTATTGTCTATCTGAAGCCAGAAGCCTCGGGAGGAGATGACACACTCATGGCTGTCCCTTACACGGTCATTACCCCTTTCCTCAGTCCCCTTATTTTCAGCCTCAGGAATAAGGACATGAAGAATGCTTTAAGAAAGGTGCTTGGAAAGAGGAATTCCTTGAATAAATAACTCTTGGATTATTGCTGCATGACTGACTGCCCAACGTCAGTAGGCATTTACCCTGTGACATCAGGAGAAGCCTGTGCCCTTTGCCTTTTTCCAGATTGTCATGTAGGAATCCAGAGAATGAGTCTGGGAACTGAAGCATCACAAACACTTACTTAGCTTGTTAAGAAAGTGTTCAACGACTCATACTTCTGCTTGCTGCTCCTGGCTTCTGCTGGTCAGCCTCTGGGCGTCCTGCATCACGGATGGAAGGGCAAAAGCAAGAAGCTGTAGAAGGAGAAAATAACCATTGTGACCACAACACTAAGAGATGCTTAAAAATATCTAAAGATACAATGGCTGAGGAATTTTTCTTGGCAACGTTGTGAGGCGTTGAGCCGTACCTCCCAGGAGATAAACCATTTCTAGTAGGTGATACACTATGTAGAAATCATCAACTGTCTATTTGTGCACATCTGGATTGATATCTCTATTTGTTAAGTCCCATGACATACTGATGACTGAAGGGTTGTTTTTTTTTTTTAACATTTTATTTATTTAATGAGAGAGAGAGAGAGAGCATGAATGGGGGCAGGGGCAGAGAGAGAGGGAGAAAGATTCTCAAGTGGACTCCGAGCTGAGAACAGAGCCTGACTCGGGGCTTGATCTCATGACCCTGAGATCACGACCTGAGCCAAAATCAAGAGTCAGATGCTTAACTGGCTGAGCTACCCAGGCGCCCCTGATTACTGAAGGTTTTTAAAAACACTGTTCATGACTGTGTCCTTCCAGTGACAGACGCTCCCTTCTGAATATACAGGATATCTTGGAGCATCGATCCATCAAGGGGGCAGGGCATGTCTTACGACTGGCAGAGTCCATGGATGAGGGCTGGAAATAACTCCATTTTCTTTAGGGTGACGATATTCAAAAGCAATTGTTAACACACACACACACACACATCATGCCATTGAAGGGTTTGACAGTGGCAGGTGTTTTGGAATCATTTCGGCAGACATATAATGTGTAATGAAGGAAACCAGATGAACACAGCATCAGATCTTGATATTACCCAGAAGACTTAGAATGAGAAGCATTGTGGAGGTTATTTCACACAAGAGTAGCAAGTGATCTTATGGAATATTCAAACACACAAGCCTTGGGAATTTTCAGAATTCTTTGCTCAGTTCTGCTGTTAACCAAATCTGTGCCTTCTCATGATGGACATAACCTTTGTATTAGGGTTTGATGTACATCGAACATATAAAAAGTGTAGGGGCAATGTCTGAACTGCATTACTTACCAGGATATTATAAAGATAAATGAGATAACAGATGGAAAATATTACGAACACACACTGATTATGGTTACCTCTTGCCACGACTCTATTTTCTTCCCTGGGACCATTCTTGTGGCATGTGTGCAGGCAGAAGACGCATCCCCTTCAATCGGGGCCACTTCCCCAATGACAAGTGTTCCTCGACTTTTGTTCCACCCCTGAGAATGGGGTGGAACAAAGGGAAGCCATAAAATCTTGGAAATAGATGCTAACAATTTACCCACTCATGGTGGGTGTACGAAATATGATGAAGCCTAGACTCAAGTTCCTGAACTTGAATTTGGACCAATTAACTTGCATATACCTGATATGGTGACTGGGGCAGACACTGCTAGTTGCCCATTCATTGTCGAGATAGAAATAAGTAACTAAATGGGAACTGGAAAATACCTATATGTTTAAAAATCAAGAAACACACTTCTAAATGCATCATGAATCAAATAAAGAATCTTATGAATACTAGAAAAAAGATTTGAATTGGACAAGATGGAAATACTACAAGTCAAAGCTTATGGGATATAGCTTTTCAGTATTCAGATGGAAATATAGGGCCTTCAAAATGCATATTAAAAAAGTTCACACGCTGAAGATTAATAACCTGAGCATTCATCTCAGGAATTTGGGAAATGAATAATTAAATGAACACAAAAATATTATAAAGAAAAAATGAATGGATAAGAGCAGAAATTAATTAAATAAGTATACAGTACAGTGACTCAAAAAGTCAAAAGTTGGAATATTGAAAATATCAATGAATCATATTATTCTCTGGTGAGATTGATGAAGAAATAAAGACAGGACATATACATAAACAATGATGGGAATGAAAATTGGGGCATTTCTCAGGTCACACCCACATAAAAGATAAGAGAATGTTGTGAATGACTTCATGAACATAAATTTGAGAACTTATGGAAAGTGGGAAAATTCCTATAGGACATATATTAAAGCTGACATAGGGAAAACAGCTATTTAATTCTCAAGAAATTGAATTTTAATATATTCCACATTAAAAACAAACCAACCAACCAACCTCTGGGTTGGTTCACTAGCTTTACTAGTAGATTC